AGAGGTAACGGTCAACACAGAGGGGCAGGAATATATTTCCAGTGTCATTTGTTTCTGGGAATACTAACAAATTGGGACCTGGTAGAAAGCAAAGTCTCTTCCTGCCATAGCCACAGGTTAAAAATAATTATGTTACCTAATCCGTGGGCTAAGAAAGAGCTTTCGGCAATTTGGGCTGTGGCACCAGGCTCCATCTTAAGGCTGAGCCGGGTTCCCGGGTGGAGGCGGGCCGGCTGGGTCTGCCCTGGCAGAGGCCAGCCCTTGTGTTTGCTCCCGCAGCCCAGCCCTGGAAGAGATTGCATCATGCAACCCCCAGCCCCCTCCTCCGCGCAACGGCCAGGGCTTCACCAGCCGCTGCAGGTGAGTCGGCTGAAGAGGAGAAAGGCTGATCTGGGCCAAAAGGAGGAGCCTAAACCTGCGTGTAAAATCTGGGAACCTGACTGAGCCCAGGCCAGGATGAGGGAAAGAGACGGGAAAGACACCCTCCGCCTCCCGGGAAGGCCCGTGACCAGCTCCAGCCACTCGCAGGCCGTCCTGGCCACCCTCAGAGCTCACATAAAGGGACAACCGGAGCCCCAGAGGCCACAGTGCTGATACTTACAGGGCACCCCGACATCATGAGTTGGTCCTTGCACCCCCGGAGTTTAATCCTCTATTTCTATACCCTTTTATTGCTCTCTTCAACATGCCTAGCAGTAAGTGTGCTCTCCACAAGACATATTTGTTTTCAATGGAAAGCTGAAAAATAAGAAAATATATGATACACTAGTGAAATGTCTGTATTTTTCTCCTCTAGTATGTTGCCACCAGAGACAACTGCTGCATCTTAGATGAAAGATTTGTAAGTAGTTTTAATGTTTCTCCTTGTGTTTGGATTGCAGAGGGCGAGAGGGGAAAAGGAACTCTCTCACAAATATTGTTTGTCATTTTAAACTCTGTTTTTGAACATAGTCTAACTTTTACCTGTTTTTATCCACAGATTTTAAGAGTAGCTTTCATCAAGATTTTAAATCGCTCTGTTGTATTTTCAGGGTAATTTTTGCCCAACTACATGCGGAATTGCAGATTTCCTGAGTAACTACCAAACTGAAGTAGACAAGGATCTACGGGCTTTGGAAGAAGTCTTAGCTCAAGTGGAAAACGAAACATTAGCAGCCAAAGAACTGATCAAAATCATCCAAATCAACTACGATCCTGATAGCCCACCAAGGCCAAGTGAGGAACTAAATACCACTGACTGAGAAAATAATTTGTAAAGTTCTTTTGCTGTTGTTTTAATGATTCTATTTGCCTAAGCATTTCTGTCTCTGATCTCATATTGCAGGTAAGATAGAAGCTGCTACTAAGGAATCCAAAAAAATTATGGAAGATATTATGAAATTTGAATCATTGATTATATCACATGAATCAAATATTCGGTAAGTAGTTTTGTTTAAACTTATTCTCCAAGAGTGATTTAAGTTTTTGTTTTTTAATATGTTTTTATTGATTTCATAGAGAGGAAGGGAGAGGGAGGGGGAGATAGAAACATCGATGAGAAATATCGATCGCCTGCCTCCTGCATGTCCCCTACTGGGATCAAGCCTGCAACCTGGGCATGTGCTGTGACTGGAATTAAACCATGTGACCTCCAGGTTCATGGATCAATTCTCAACCACTGAACCACACTGGCCAGGCAAGAGCATTTTAGTTTTTATAGATATTTGCAAACTTTGGTGGAATTAGTCTTTTCCCCCCGTTTTTAATATTTAACTGTAATTATGCCTGACCATCTGGAATGCAATGGAGATAGCATTTTTAGTGCAATATGTATTGTACTGGGTTAAAGCTGATTTTTAATAATCATGTGGGAGAAAGGTGTTCTAGACGTCTTCAAATGCTATTGTGACCATATTTATCAAAATGCTCCCCCAACCCCATCTGTCTTAAAACATACATTCAAATGGGAATTCGGGTGCGGAAACTAAAATTCTCTTTATAAGATTGTCAACAAATTGGTAGTGAGGAATTATCAAGCAGAGGCATAGGAAGGATATTGGCTACAAAAGTTAAGAGACTAAGTGTAACATTATAAAGCCATGTGTTGATCATGGCACAATGAATGTGCTTTTATGTTCTCTCCTCCCTTCACTTGAAAGTAAAATGTCCCCATTAACAACTTCCCAGAGACTCATCAACTTCCTGAACAAGGGTCTCAGATGCAGTTTTAGTTTCTTCCTCAAATTTTTCCCCCTAAATTGTTTTCAAAGCAGCATAAAAAATAGTAACGAATGGTGGCTAGGGAGAAGTGGCCCAGGAGGGATTTCTCCCCTTTCTGGTATTAGAGGGCCATGATTATAATTGTTGTGATTCTTATTAGCATTATAAGTTGCATTATATTTGCCCATCACTGAAGTGGAAGAGACTGCTGTGCAGAAATTTTCTAAGGTACAGTAGAGAAAAAATCAAATGCTTTTTCTTTCCTTCTGCACCAAAAGACACAACAGTCTGTGCAACGTACACAGTTTTCTATCATTTCTGAATATGTACAAACAATCCTGTGAAAAACTACAAAAGTGGGGTTTTTTTACTACCCCAACCTTTTCCCAAAGATCTGTAAATAGAAACATTGAGAAGGTCGGGAAAGTGTCTGTTGTTCAATTGTATGTGAGATAATGTCCCCAAAACTTTCTCCATGTAAGTTATAGATCGTAGACCTTAAATAGGTCCTCAGGAGATCTGCAAGTGAAAAGCATAATTCATCACATGTGAATTACTGAACGGAGCCTTTTCTTTAAGAATATCCAGTCCAAAGAACGGCCATCAGGCAGTCTTCCGATTAACCAGGCTCTTTGATACACATGGTAAAAATCAGAATGACCACTGTTGAATGACGTGGCATTGTAGTGGACAAGGACTTTGTTTTTTCTTTTCCAGAAACCTTAGAAATGTAATTCATCTCAATTAAGTAACAATAATTTTATTGTTTTCCCAAGAAATGGGGTAACTTATCAGGAGTAATTCTTGAAAAGATAAGGTGGTATTTTTAAATGAAAATACAAAATTACAGCCCTGAAGGGAATGCTCTGCTATCTTATTCTTCTGCTTATAGGTTTTTGCAGGACATATATAATTCAAATAATCAGAAGATCATTACCTTGAAACAGAAAGTAATCCAACTTGAAGGACAGTGTCAAGAGCCTTGCAAAGACACAGTGCAAATACGTGATACAACAGGGAAAGGTAAGTGACAGGCCGATATGGGGGTTCCCTTCATCAAAGCTAATGTATCAAGCAAAGGAGGTTTCATGTTTTGGGATGTATAGGAATAATTTTAAGAGTGCCTAGGCATTAACTCTAAAGTAGCCAATTGCTTCGACTTTTCTTGAGTAGCTAAAGATAGTTTGAAAGGAATGATGATGTGAGAAGTAAGAAAATGCTTTGTGGGAAATGAATAGTTTGTAACTTGTTAAAAGCTCATGTTCAAGGCTGGGGCAGTCTTACCTGAATTCGGACCCCAGGGTAAGCTTCTTCTCCTTCTTCAGATTGTCAAGATATTGCCAATAAGGGAGCCAAAGAGAGTGGGCTTTACTTTATCAAACCTCTTACAACTAAGCGGCAGTTCTTAGTCTACTGTGAAATTGATAAAAATGGAAATGGATGGACTGTGCTTCAGAAGGTATTTCCCCCCTCACCCTGTGTGTTTAAGAAACACTCAAATAAGCATCTGCCTTACCCTAGATACTTTTCTAAGCACCTCGTGAGCATCAACTCAATGAATCCTTGCGACTTCCCTGTGAGGTACATACGATTATTACCTCTATTTACAGAGGAGGAAGCTTAGGTACAAGAGGTAAAGTAACTTGCCCAAGATCACATAACTAACTAGTAAGTAACAGAGTCAGGATTTGAACCCAGGGAGTTTGACTTCAGAGTCTGTGCTTTGACTCTCTCCTATGCTGGCACTGCTGCTGTCTACATATGATACCACATAGTCACACAACCATAGTGACAAAAACAAAATAAAGCTGGAAGGGACCTGTTTCATCAGTTAGATCAAGACCTATGGCTGCCAATTACAAAATGATGAAGTCCCCCAGAGAATACAGTTGGGCTCTTTCAAGACAAGGACCCTCTGTTTCCTGTCTGCCAGTCCCTGGCAGTTGCTGCAGTCGTTTTCCCTGTTTACCTCTGACCACTAATGAGTTACAACTAATCCTGCAGGGGGTGCTCAGAGGGGCTGGTGATGGAAGCTCTGGTTGGCAGATAGATCAAACAATGAGTTGACCTTTCCACCATCGGTACAAGAATCAGCAATATCAGGCTGGAGTTCTGAAATCCTCTAAGTGTCTTTTAAAAACTACCACTAATTTAGAATTAACCATGTGCCAGGTACTCTTTAAGAATTTCTCCTCTCATGGAATCTCTATAATAATCCTAAGAAATAAGCATCATTATGGTTATTTGACAGGTGAGGAAACTGAGGCAGCTTAACTAAGGTCATATAGTTAGTAAATGATGGGATCACATTTTCAACATATGTTTATAACATTTTCTTTATGCACACTGGTAACCCTGTTCTCTCCTTTTGCCTACGCAATTGTGTAATTAGAGGCTTGATGGCAGTGAGAATTTCAAGAGAAACTGGATTCAATACAAAGAAGGGTTTGGACATCTCTCTCCTACGGGCACCACAGAATTTTGGCTGGGAAATGAGAAGATTCATTTGATAAGCACACAGTCGGCCATCCCATATGTATTAAGAGTGCAGTTGGAGGATTGGAGTGGCAGAACCAGGTACTGTTTAGAAAGACTTAACTGGAATGTGCGCTTTCCAACCATCAATAGACCAATGGCAAAGCCAGCCTGACAAATGCAAAGAACACATCCAGCCATTTCTCCCAGAAGTCAACTTGCTTTTGAGGCAGCCCAAAGAGATGGGTCCGATCCAGGCTGGATCTGAGTATTTTGGTACAATCTCTTTACCCTGGAACCATACGGAATAATTGCTGACATTTCCTGAGCATTTAATATTTATCAGAAATCGAGCATGACATTATAATTTAATTTATTCCTAATAACTCTTTCATGAGGCAGGTAACATTGTTAATCTCATTTTACAGATTTAACTTACCCAAGGTCATATTACTTGTCTGTGGTAAAGGTTGGATTTGAACTCAGGTAGTTTGACTCTATAGATCATCTTCTTAAAATTATCTTGGTTGAAAAGTGAACCCAGCCTCTTCAGATTTCCTGGCTACCTTAAAATTAAATCAGCTAGCTCCTCTATGCTCAGAGCTATCTGGGGGCTTTGAACATTGTACATATACCTAATGAAAATTCAGAAAAATATCCAACTCTCTTTTTATGTCTATGAGATAATAAAATATGTTTTGTGTCCAAACACATATTTTTGCTTTTCAAATTTTCACCCAGAAAGTGCCACAGTCAGTAGATCTGCTCTGTGAGAACATCTCCCATTTCATAAGCACTGGAGACCAGTGAAGAAGCTAAATATTTTCTGGCAATCTCTGTCCATCTACCAAGGCCCATTCTTCCCTGCACTCCATAGAATCTGGCCCTCATTCATAATTTTTTTTTCCTGGGGAGAATCTCTCTCTGATCCCCCAGCTCATTTTGTGGGCCACACAGGGACCACTTCTTTTATGTGATGCTCTAGGAAGCCATCCTTATTGCCACCAGCACATTACCTTGGGAAAGAAAAATTCCTTTGGGACCTCACCCTTCAGATTGTATGAACAGCCAAAGGGACTCTAGCTCCTTCGAAACTGGTGCATTAACAGTCACTCACTGTCAGCTAATTACTGCTGTTTATGATAACTGTGTGAACAATGCTAACCATTTAGATAAAAGTGAAAATATAAAATTAGTCAGATTCATCCACACATCTGGATTTGATATTAGGATACCATAGGCAGTAAGCATTAAAATGGCTAAAGTTTTTAGTTTTCATTGAAACACTCTGAAGGCTTCTAGACCCATCCTAAGTGGTGCTGATGATATAGCCATTGCCTCCTGCCAAATTTGCAGAAAACTTAATTCAATGAACAAATTTCAGACTTAAGAAGCAACGTTAAAAATTCCAAACAATTATTTTATGGAAGAGGGACCTTCTGAGATCCCTACTGAGGCTCAAGATACGATGTCTCTATTTCTTTATAGTACTGCGGACTATGCCATGTTCAAGGTGGGGCCTGAAAGCGACAAGTACCGCCTGACATATGCCTACTTCATTGGTGGAGATGCTGGAGATGCCTTTGATGGCTTTGATTTTGGTGATGATCCTAGTGACAAGTTTTTCACATCCCACAATGGCATGCAGTTCAGTACCTGGGACAATGACAATGATAAGTTTGAAGGTAACTGTGCTGAACAGGACGGATCTGGTTGGTGGATGAACAAGTGTCATGCTGGCCACCTCAATGGAGTTTATTACCAAGGTATGGCTTTCTTCCTTACATATATGACTTAGTGTATAGTCTATATTTTAATAAAAAGTACAAATAGATTTAAGGAAATGAGAAATAATTAGTAAAGGTATTAGGGGGCTTATTATGTAGTTCTTTATTTTAAATCAGAATTATACCTGAAATTGGTCCCTTGACAAGAAATCCACCTGCTGCAAAATAGCCAGTGGTTTGTCATTGCACCTGGAATTACCACCATCAGAGTTGACACTTTGGGTTATGGTATCTCCTCTAGATTTACCACATATAGGATCTGGATAGACTAACCATATTTATGCTTGTTAACACATTAGCCTGGGTCAGCTTCACGTGAATGGTGTATCAGAGATAACCAGTGAGCAGTAAGCCGGTGTGTGGAGGAATGGAGTAAAGAGCAGGAAATTGTTGGTAAGAGCAGGGGTCCATGGAAGCTTGAGCAGGAGTTCAGCCTATGAGTCTAGATACTTCCTTTAGGATGGGGGAAGACAAGCTACAGTTTGCTGTAAGGCTGGAGTAGTTACGAACACTGATTTTACTTACTGACAAACTATTGTCACTACCCAACAGTTAGTAGGGGAAACCCTACTGATGCCAGAAGATCCATTAAGATGAGCAATCTTACCTCTTCAGGGCATTGTCCTAGCCAATAGATGGCTTAAAATCCTCTTAAAAATGATTTAAATCTACCTTTTTGTTTTCACAACATTTTTTACATAACTTATCTTTGCACCCACAAACCATATAATTAGAAGAAATTCTCAGGGAAGGTGTTTGATCCCTATGACCCAGAGTAGCCATGTTCATAGCCTGGGGTGCCCACCAGTATTGGACTCAGACATTCCCTTACAAAATTACATGAGATCTGGTGCTTCTGGGCAAGGAAAAGGCAAATCAACCTCATCTCCACTTTATAATGGAGACGTGAATAACATTCCAGACCGTTTTCTAAAGTCCTCCTACTTTCCAGTGCAGTTGTGTTTTCAGATGACCTGAAACCACCTGATCAGGGACTGTGACTCCTGCCATTCTAACCTCCCTGCAGTAAGATGGTCCATAGTAGCTGAATCAGGATGGCTAAGCTCAGGCAGAGAGACCAGCTGGGGAAATTAGGTTCTAACACTGTGAGTAGTGAATATATTTAAAGTATGACTGTGACCAGACAGTACAACACAGAGGTAAGGGATTGTTTAATAATCCATTTATTTATAATTGTAAATTGAAATTTTAGGGATCTTCAGGGGTATTTTCAGTTAGTTGATAACACTATAAATTTGATGTGACAGTGGGCATCATGATTGGCAGTTCTTTACAGACTCTCCAAGGTAAGGAAATCCAAGAGCAATGACATGCCCATCTACAATTTGTCTTAGGTGGCACTTACTCAAAGGCATCTACACCTAATGGTTATGATAACGGCATCATTTGGGCCACTTGGAAATCTCGTTGGTATTCCATGAAGAAAACCACCATGAAGATCATTCCGTTCAACAGACTGGCCAGTGAAGGGCAGCAGCAGCACCAAGGGGGAGCCAAACAGGTCAGACCGGAGCACCTTGTTGAGATAGAAGAGAGATAAATCACTTTGCCCGAGAACAAACTGTTCATTCCTAGTGGCCCAGAAAGTTTCAGAAACTTTTCTGGAAGTTCCTTCTCATTTTCTCTTACCATATTTATCAAGTTTGTCTGACATTAAGGATATTTAGCCTTAAGTGGAAATTATAACTTACTTTGGATTGTATTCCAAAATTACAGAACTCAGAGTCATTTAAAATTTGTTTATTTGATGAGATAACATTTTAGCATATTTCCTAGGTGTATAGGAAATAATTGCCAAATTTTTTACATTTTAATGATCACATGTCATTTTGCCTCAGTGATTTTTAAATAGTAAGTACATATTTTTAGTACATCCTAATAAAATAGGAGTAAATTCTAGCATTTCAGATGCCTAAGTATTCTTCCATATGTATTGCCCCTAATATTTATATTTAATTCTTTTTAAATGGAGACAATGATATCTTTTTAATATATTTTTATTTTGGTCATAGGCTGGAGACATTTAAAAGACCATTTCAAAAGTGATTTACTTTTTTAAAGGACTTTATCTGAACATATAAAATATATTTTTCATGTGGGACAATGGACTCGTAAAGCTGCACTTGAGAAAAAAGAACCCATGTTGAAAACTTCACTAACAGTTTTATGCTGGTGATAATTTATCTACACACCATTTCAATAAACATTTTGTTTCCTAAAACAAGATACGTGGTGCCTTTTATTTCCTTCAACTTAGTAATTACAGTTGGGCAATCATCAGTAGTTGCCGAGTCCTCAATTTACATTAAACATTATACCTTCCTCTTGGGGAATTATGAAAAATAAAAAATAAAAAATAGACATGGCTTGTGCCCTCCAGGGGATATAAGGTAAGCACAGAAAAATACAGTAACCCAAAGTGACAAAATTTGATATAAAAACATAAACACAGGTCACAATCACGTAACTAAGGTTCAGAGTCCCCAGAGCGCAGCTGGAGACAGAGGGCTGTCTGGGAATCCTCCTGGGGGGACCTCGGTCTCCAGACTCCTGTGGCGGCTGTGGGCCCTCTGCAGGACTGGAACTCAGAGCAGGGAGCTTTCGGGAACAACCTGCTCAGTCCCTCAGGGGAAACACTGAGGTCAGCAGAGCAGAGCCATTACTTCATTCCGAATCTAGGGATGTGGAGTTAGCAGCCAGAGATCAGGGGGCACCAGCTTTCTGTAAGGAATAGTTAAACCTACAGAAGTCGGCGTAAGACTGACCTTGTAAAGTAATTGCCTAATTCTATGAGGGGAGGATCAGGTTGTTCTGAAATCCTGAGTTTTGACTTTGGATTCTCTTCTTTTCCACAGTTTCTTTCCTAATTCTCTCACCTCCTTGCTCTCATGAGTCCCGATTTTAAAATATCTTATTGAGATAAAAACAGCGAACAGCCAGCCAGGTGCTTGCGAGGCTTTGGGCAACAGGAATGCTCGTTCAGTTTGCAGCACTCGCTAATTCATGTGTCCATGAAGCATGCGTGCCACTAACGTGTATGGAGTGCCTTCAGGTCCCGGCCACTGTGCTGGGGATTGGGGACACAGTGCCCGCAGTACCCTGCTCTCCTCCCGACCTCTCAAGCCCACCCAGATCCCGAGTTGCAAAAACCCAGTAACTCATCCCCCAGTCTTCCTTGTTCCCCCCGCCCCTCGTCATCAAGCCTGTCAAATCCACCGCCTAAATATTTATTGTATTCATTTCCTTTTATAAACACACTGCCACATTCTAGATGAGATATACAGCATCTCTTGCCAGGATAATGGCAGTCACCTTCCTGTCCTCCTCAGTGCCTCTGACCTTGCCTGCCCCCCCCTTCATGCCCCAAACTCCTTCTAAACTCAGAATACATGCAGTGTACCCTGTAAAGTCCTTCAGGTGAGAAATTTGGTCATAGATAGGAAGGCTTATACAAATATTAATAACTTTTGATGCAATAATAACACATCAGTGATTTAGCCCAAGAAAATTATTTTTGAAAAAGAAAATACCTTTACAAGATCTCAGAAATGTGAATATAGCCACATATTTAAGAAAAGTGGGAAACTTAGAAATTATTTAGCAGTGGAAGAATGAACAAGCAAGTTAGCTTATTAGCACAATGGAACAGAAAGCAGTGATTACATAGTAAGCATTATGTCTCAGCATGAACATGGAAACATTCACAAAATAAAAAGTGAAATTTTAAGATGAAAAATAATTCTACAATGATACTATAAAAAGTATATGTGCATATACATTTTAAACAAAGTATAATTTTGACATATATGCATTATTTGTACATATTTGTTCTCCCCCAACCAATATATAATGTAAAATTTAATAAAAATACGTAACACAAAATAAATATAAAGAAGTCCAAAAGTTTCTGGTTTTTTCCATGGTCACTTGTTCAATGCTCTTTCTAAAATATTAATTATAATATTTTTCAAAAAAATATTATCATAGGCCTCCTAACTTTCTCTTTATACATCTCTGCATTGCTTGGCTTGGTATAATGAATACATATTAATTTTGTAGTTAATTTCAAAACCCACTGAGGTAGAGAAAAACTGATGAACTTCAAAATTCTACTTGCTTAGTTATTGATATGCAGTGCTAAACCTTGAAGGGCTACAGTTTAAGAATTAAAGCATAAGATATACTTCCAGACTCAAATGAATCATGTCTCCACAAATAAAATGGAAATTGAAATGATTATTTTGATAAATCAACTTTTAGAAATCTACTTTTAAGTGAAACAAAGAGTTTGGAGCCTCATAGACATAGATCATTTTTCTTCACAGCTCAAATCACAAGTAACCCTTATTCACCCCTTCCCTTTACTTTCCCTTGGCATAAAAAAAAAACTCCAGTCACTATAAATTAGGGAGGCTGAGTACAAAGCAATGTGTGTAGTTACACACTTTAAAAAACCTACAGAGGGAAACTTCCAAGAAGGAGGGCATAGGTGTAGATGTATGGATACCATGACTTCAGGTCATGCAACTACAGGGCAGAGTCATTTAATCACCAGACAGGAGCAACCATTCACTGGGCAAATATTAAGATTTCAAAATATACCTCTGAAGTGTTATATCTTTTTTTCAATTTTCCTCTGTTTAGCAGTTATACTTTAAAGGCTACCTTTCAGATTTATGGGTGGGTTGAAAAATGAGTGGAAAATGAAGATATATAAGTGCAGACAACATATTTGAGATCTTTACAAAATCTAAAATTCTTTAACTATGACTCTAACCAGTGTAAACTAACCAAGGCATTTATAGTAGGTATCTTTGGTTTGTTTAGATCAGGAGTGGAGAAACTTTTTTCTACCAAGGGCCATTGGATATTTATAACATCATTCACGGCCATAAAAAATCATCAACTTAAAAATTAGCTATGTAAAAAGCTCCTATGTAAAATTTATTGAATTTTGAGTCCTACCTGGGTTTGCCTTGGCAGGACCAGACCAAATGATTTCACGGGCCCTATACGGCCTGTGGGCCGGACGTTCCTCACCCCTGGATTTTAGATGATAAGAATGAAAAAGCAAAGTGCACATTTAATCCTGGGGAAAACATATCTACCTGATGGTTTCTTAATGGTTTGATGTAGCTCAAAAAAGGAGGGGAGGAAAGAATTAATGATAATAACATGAGTTAAAGTAGATGGGATATAATGAGTTCGTGACAAAGAGACCAAAGGTGTGCAAAGACTGTTTCATGTTCCTTTCTGCTGTGTGTGTGTGCGTGTGTGTGCGCGCGTGCGTGTGTGCGTCCCGCAGAGCTAGAAGGTGAGCGAGGCATACGCCTATCACACATTCTCACTCACCTGTGCTCCTGATGGGCTGAATCCTTTTTCATTAAACTTTCTTTTCTTCCCTTTGTTCCTGTAATAAACAATCTTTCGGGCAGATTTGCTGTGTTTCTTTATTTGTATGCATTTTTATAAATCATAGATTTTTCTTTTGAGCTATGTATTTTTAAATTCTATAAATGGCATTGTGCAATAAGTCAGTGTTACTCAGAATGATGGTCCTCAAATTCTTTGTTATTGGTCTATGTTAAGATAAATGAAATAATGGAAAATAATCATGTAGAAACATTTTTCCTAAATTGTGTTTGCTCTGATTATATTTAAATTACATAAAGTGTAATTTTATGTCTTTGGAATCTAATAGTAAGTATTTGGGCTTATATTTTGTATATCCTTTGTTTTTCAATTTTATTTTTCTAGTAATTAATTTTATTTTATAATCTAGTAGGCCTGTGATTGGTTAGAAATTTAATAAAACTAGTCCTTTACCACAAATACTTTAAAATATATATGTATATATCTTTATTGATTTCAGAGAGGGGAAGGGAGAGGGAGAGATAGAAACATCAATGATGAGAGAGTTATTAATCAGCTTCCTCCTGCATGCTCCCTACTGGGGATTGAGCCAAAACCCAGGCATGTGCCCTGAACCAGGAATCGAACCCTGATCTCTTGGATCATAGGTCAATGTTCAACTGCTGAGCCACACCAGCCGAGCTTCCACAAATACTTTGAGAAGCACTGCCAAGGTCTTCATTGTACTTACTTTTGCACTCAGCAGTATCCACAGTTTGAGTATTTTATAATTTTTCTTGATTTCCTTTGGAAACCAAGGGTTTTAAAGTGAATATCATTTGGTTCCAAAGCTTGTGGCTTTTAAAACTCTATTTTTAATTAATACCTAAATGTATTGCATTACAGTCAGAGAACATAAACTGGATGATATTCATTCCTGAGAGAGAGAGAGAGAGAGAGAGATTTCACAAATTATTTTGGTACAAAGAAATTATCAGAGAATTCATTGATCCCATAAAAGTGTATATCATTATAGCCTGTCTCCAATAATGATCTACATAACAGAAAACTACTAATATTTTTCCTTTAAGAAGGAAAACAAACAAAGATGGACAAATACTTATTGGCCTTGTAAACATGGTCCTGTAGCCATGGTCAATTATGAACATTAAAAATAGGTTTGACCATTGGCCTGTAGAACACTCGTCTGTATCAGGTTTGAAAACCTTTTGGGAAGACTGGCACTATTTCAAACTCTTGCTCATCTCAGTTTCTTTGGGAAATATTTAAAGTGACAAATGAATTCAGGATCATGGCATTGAATCAAGTCTATGATTGGGTCAAAAACATGTTTCCTAAATGGCAATCCAGTATCCTTGTCCCTCACTCCCACTTCCCAGGTCCTCATCCAGATTTTGGTCTACTGGTAGCTTAAAAAACACAAGTGACCTGAGGTAGATGGGAGCCCTCTCTAGATAAATTTGAATGTTGACTCTCCCTAGATAAACAGAGTAAGCAGATTCTGCCCTGTGATGAAAGTGGCCTCTTTTAAATCCTCAGGGGCAAATAGTTAAAGTGTGACATAAAAAAATACATAACAACATTTAAGAGGCCTTGAACAGAACATTTTTTTCTTCCTAATTTACTCTCCTTACATGACAAAGCTGTGGCATGATTCAAATGACATAACATATGAAATTGCTCCAGACACAAAGACAAAACAAAATTGAATTGTTTTTTGCTGTTAAGATTGGTATTTTTATATGAGATTTGAATCCAATGTTTGTTAAGTTTGGAAATATAGTTATAAAACTTTAATATTTTTGTTTGTTTTTAAATAAACTTTCCATTTCAGAACACTTGTTTTTTATTTACAGAAAAGTTTTAAAGATACTATAATTTCCTATACCCATCACCCAGTTTCCTCTAATGTTAGCATCTTACACCACCATGGTTATTTGTCAGAACTAAGAAACCAGCTCATAGTTACTCTTTTCTAACTTCCACACTTCATTCATATTTCACCAGTCTTTATGCTAATGTCTTTTCTCTGTTCTAGGATCTCATCCAGGATACGTTACATTTAGTTGTCACATCTCCTTAGCTTTGGTAACAGTTTCCTAGTCTTCCTTGTTTTGCATGACCTTGACTGCTTAGAGGAGTACATTCTGGTACACTGGTCCAGTATTTTGTAAAATGTCCCTCAGTTTGGGTTTCTCTGCTGTTAGTCTCCATAACTTTTTGTTAAATGTTATCTAAGCAGAATTTTACTCAAACGCCTTCTGTAAGTTGCCTTGGTTTTACTCTAGAACAGTCCATTAAAAATAGGTTCCAATAAGAATTACAGAGAATTAAATGAATCTTGGTATTCCATAATTTTCATATAATTCCTTACTATGGACATAGTCTTAGGACCTTACACATGCTGGTTCCCCAGATCTCAGTCCTATTAGTTGCTCTTGCACAGATCATCATACAAACTCATTCACCTTTCACAGGAAGCAGCTTGGTTAATAACAAACTTTTACAACACCCTTGAAATCAGGACACAGGTAGAGAGAATAAGACAAAGCTCAATAGCCTTGCCAATATGTTCCAGGTAATCCTTTAGAGGTCAGCGGCTGTTGTAAATACCTGAGGCACAGGCCCTGAAAGAGTATTGTAAGTGCCAGAATCTCCTAAATTTTTATAATTCCTGCATTTCAAACTTTAGAAATTAATTTTAGTCCTTTCCAATTGTGCATTTTATACATTCTAGCAAAATATTTCCTGTCAAAGTACCATTACTTTCTTGTCATTAGGACAATGATAAATGTACATATTCATATAGATTTTTATGCTAGAAGACACAATGAGTATTTTTCAAGAGAATCTTTTTTTTTGGCCAACATTAAATCTGATATTTTAAGGAACATTTTACACAAAGTGTAACAGAAAACGGTGCAGAACTGAGATGTCGCTTCCCACTCTGTGTTCTAACAGCATTTTGAATATACCTCACAGAAGTCTTTCCATTGTTTTGGATTAGTGAAACATGGAATTGCAGATATTCATCATTTTGATCTACAAAAATGGTAATTTTCTAGTTTGACTTCTTAGCTGCATATGTACTTGATTTGCTCACCAATTGTAAGCAACTTGAGGTACGAGGCTGTCCATTCTTTCCCTTTCTATCTCAAGAGCATAGCAAGCCGGACTGGCAACTAATAAACGTACAATAAATGGTGGTTACACTTAAATGAATGGATGAGAAGGTAAACTGCTCTCAGAATTCAATACATTAAATATCACTCGGTAAAGAACAGGATGTTCCTTCACTGCCCTGGGGTGTACGTTCCAGGAAAGGACAAATGCCCCATTCAAAAGAAAGCGGAGGGGTTTTGTTCATTTTTGTTTTGTCTGTATTACTAAGTTCTATCTACACAATGGCAAATATTTAGATGGCTGGATACATATTTTACTCTTCATGTGTAAGTTTTCATGGGTAGATAGTTTAAAACTGAAACATACTGACAGCTATAGAATTTCTATTCTTTTTACACACATTAGATACCATACAAATAAAAACTATTCCAGTCCTGCCAGATGCGATGGTGTAACAAATGTGCGAATCCCAGCATCTAAACACTTAGAATTTCTGGAACTTTATATTAATTTCAAAAGGATAAGTAAATGAAACATCCTTTTCTTTAGAACAAAGGAAAAGAAGATATAGTCCTCTTTGAGAAAAATGCAGAGATTGTGGCTTAAGAAACAGGAAATTGCTCAAATTCTTTTTCCCATTTGTAAACATATTCTTATTGTCACATGCTTTGAAAAGGATACTCCTGTTATTATTTGTTGCCTGGTCATCTGCATGGCTTTCTGTCTAAACAAAACCTACTTTTTGGGTTCGTCGTTCAGGGGGCAGGGAGACCAGTCTGGGGCTCGGGGCAGTGCCAGGTCAAGAGAGCGCGCCACCCAAGTCCCTGGTTAGGAAATTCTAGCCCTGGTGAGCCAGAATTTCTAGCATGGAAACTTTCTAGTTTGCAGCATTGGGACATTCTAGGAACTGGAAAAGCTACCATTCCTGGGGCTCATAATTTATATAGCCCTCATGCAATACCTCACAACAGCCCTGCAAAATAAATCTTGTCATATTTATTACTACATGCTTGCCTAGCATTGGACTAGAGAGTGTGTTGTGGTTTCATTAAGCTTAGTGTGAGGGAGACATGAAATAAACAACTTTCCAAATAGCTACTGTCCAGCAGTGATAAAGTACCAGGCTAATGGAATAGCACCTGAGACTGGCTGCTCTTAGAGTGGTCAAGGAGGGCCTCTCTGAAGAGGTGCCATCCGAGCAGAGGCCTGGACAAAGTATGGAAGTGAGATGTGCTAATACTTGAGGGAACCATGGAACGGCAAGGATGACGCCTTGAAGTCATACCTTGGTAATGCCCTGACATGGCACCAGAGCGGTGGGACTCAGTCAGAATGTTTTCTGTTAACCTACTTCCAAGCAGGTCGTGTCCAATAAAATCACCTGAAGTCCACCAGGTTACTCTCTGGGGATTTCTTCCATATACATGTTCACCTCCCAAGAAGGGGACTTCCTGTGGGCAGAGGAAAACACCTGAGGAAGTGAAGTCTCTCAAATTCCTTCCCAGGCCTGATATTTTGCCAGCTCAGCCACTGTAAAGAAGTGTGACTCAGCTTTCCCGGGAATCATGGCCCTGCTGAGCCAGGATGGGACTCTCGGGTTCCCGCTGAGCTCCGCAGCTGCCTCTGGGAATCCAAGGAGACCACATAAGGGGTGACCTTGATCAGACAAAGAACTTTCCATGTACCAAGCAGTGAAGGAGGGCTCTGCCTTGTACCTGGGCTTTCATCCGTTTGTAGCAAGATTCACATGCCTACGGAGCCTGAGGAGGCAGTGGGTCAGCTTAACAGTGGAACCCACTTATGCTTTTTTGCTCAGTTGAGGACCCACACCTTTTAGGGAGAATATAAAGACCAATAAAAATGTTGATTATCAGGTTTATAGTCCAGGGGAGGAGATGGACAAGACACTTACAGCGCTAAACACCACAAGTGGCACATGCTCTAAAGGAGTTTGGAAGAACAAGAGGTGGTTTCCATCTGGAGAGATGAAGCCAGAGACTATGTAATGTGTCCAGCAAGTGCCCAGCACTTAATCATCACTCAATAAATATTAGCTGTCACTATGACCGGGGCTGGCTGTGCACAGGAAGCAGAATTGGAGGCAAGGCAAGATTGCTAGGCATATAGGATATCCAGTGAAATACGCCTTTCAGATGAACAAAAAAATGTTTTTGGTATAAATATGTCCCACATATTGCATGGGACATATGTATATGAAAATGTGTTTGTTCTTTATCTGAAATTCAAATTTAAATGAACAGCCTGTGTTGTTGGGTTTTTTTGTAATCCTCACTCGAGGATATTTTTTCCATTGCTTTTCAAAGAGAGTGGAAGAGAGAAAGAGAGAGAGGGAAAGAAACCGCAATGTGAGAGAGACACATGGATTGGTTGCCTCCCTCACACGCCCTGACCAGGGCCGGGGATCAAGTCTGCAACCGGGGCACATGCCCTTGGCCAGAATCAAACCCAAGACCCTTCAGTCTGCGGGGTGATGCTCTACCCACAGAACCAAACCAGCGAGGGTGGCACCCTGGTTTTTTATCTAGCAATTTTCATGTCAAAGGAAAACTTTGAGATGGAGACGAAGTGCGGGTAAATTAGCATGTCCAAAGGCACAGAAACTCGAAAGAAATGGTGTTTTTCATGGCAATGTTCTTCAATAATTGTTAAGACTTACTGAGTACTGCTCTTAGCCCGCGTGGCAATCACTGTTCTCACGGCTTTGCAGGGATTCATTCATTTATTCTTTATAAAAACGTGTGGTAGGTTATCATTATCCTCATTTTAAAAATGAGGAGTCTGAGACATAAAGAGGTAACGTGTCCAGGAGCTCAGAGATGAGAAATGGTGCAGCTGAGATTATGAACCTGGGATGTTTGGAATCAGGGGACTGCTGTCTTAACCGTTTTGGATGGAGGAAAATTATCTGTTCACAGTAAGATTTTAGATGGCTTTCAGTCATTTTTTAAAAGTCCGATCATCCAACCGTCATTCTCACATAAAGTGAAATATCGTTAGTGAAACCTCTGCTTCACAGCGGGCTGCCGCCGGCCTGCCTCTGCGCTCTCCCCAGGCCATCAGGCGCTCAAACCCGGGGTGCGCTCCTCCGGTCCCGTTTGGATTTCCAAAGTCGCCTTGTTCCTGGAATGTGGGCTCTGCCTCTGTCGGCTGCCACCTTTGCAACAGCTTATTGGAAGCAAACAAGCTTCCAATTGAGCAAGAACTTCTGGGACACCAACCTTGGAGAAGGAACAGGGAGTGTAGAGTATCTGTTGACCATCTAAACAGGACCAAGATAATGATTAATTAAATCTCCTGCAGGTTTAAATGAGATGGGAACTGGGAGTGGAAACAATCCTCCTTCCTCACAGCTGGAGTGCTCCTCATGAGCCAGCCCCCCTCCCCCGCAGGAAAGATGTATTCCATGAGGATCTTCTGTCTGGTCCTGAGCGTGGCAGGCACAGTTTGGGTATGGTTGCCTTTATTTTCTCTCCTTGCTTTCTCTCGGGTGTTTATTTCATAAAGAGCTTGCAGGTCTGAGTCAGCATTATGTATGTCCTCACACACTGTTAGCTCTCTCAGCTCCAGGCCATGGAGGCAAGTTCCCAGATGGGCCAAACATATGACCCTAAGAGGGCAACTTAGGGGGAGCAAAGTGTATACATCCAAAGGGGAAGCTTTAACATCTGTAACTCAGGCTTACAACATTGTTGTTGTTTTTTTAAAGGGAAGATATCTTTGCCGTCTTTGTTGCTATAAAGCCTCGAGATAGTTAATGCTAGTCAACAGAACAGAACATTCGCATAAGTTTTAAAAATGTAATTATTATTTTCTTGCTATTTGTCCAGAATAAGAAAAACAGTGGTTTAATATAGTTTTTCTGAAAGGTGGTTTTTGTTTTTCAGACAAATACAAAGCAAATTAGTTATCTTTGCAAATATATTACAAAGCAAAGTCAGAAAAGGCAATAAGGCAATATGCTTTTTAGAAGCCATTATATTCTTTTAAGATAATTACTAAATATTGCAACAACTTCTAAAGTTTGACTCCAGAACCCCATAGAAAAAAAGAGAAACTTTATTCAACAAGGCTTTTGAAGCACTCCAATCTTATAAAAACATGACAAATATGTTTAAAAAACTCAGTTACACCTAGGCTATGAATTATTCCAATTTATTTCTTTCCCTTCATCACTCATAAACCTTAACACCAGAGCAGAAAAACACTAAGGGTTTCTAACTTAATTTTTTCCCTTATAGTATACTAATAAGTAAACATTTTCATGAGAAATAAAACTAACATCATTTGCTAAGATGATATTTTGGATAATGCATAACTTTCAGTTATTTCTCCCTGTTATTGGCATAAATATTTAATTTTTGCCTGTTTTTATCATGCCATTTTATTCTGAAGTATGTTTGAATTTCTAATTTTATTTCTTAGACAAAAAGATTGTACTTGTTACTTTAAACAAATTGTTCTTGATTGCTTGAATTAGTATTAGTATTATTGGGGTATTTTAAAAAATTAGATGACAAATGTTAACTAATTATAAGAACAAACTATCTGAGATTAAAATAGTCATAGTAAGTTAGTAGTACATAGTAAAAATAGCTAAAGCCTAAAACCTGCATTGATTTGTTAGGATAACATCTTATAGGAAGAATATTTTTATATCTTAATTCACCTCATAGGTTACAATAGAAAATTTTTACAATCTGTGTTTCTAATTATAAGATGTTCAACAAAGTTGTCAGCCATGGACCATTAGTTTTGCTTTCACTCTTCTTTCTCTCATTTCAAAGACAAAAGAAACTATTACATGAGTGAGCAAACTAAAAAGCATTTCTGAGTCTGAACTGGCCACATTTGTGTTCTTGGTATATATTTGCTCAAATTATGGATCCATAAGATCATAGTAGAAACTTAAAGGAGAGAGGGACATTAAGCTAAGATCGTGTAGGCTTTTTCCTACTGGAACAGGAATTATAGTAGGAGAAAGAACTCTTTAAATTTTCTCATTATATATTTCTAGACATTAATGAAAATTAAAAGGTAAATTTTAACCAATTTTGTTGATTCAAATAATTTTCCTTTTATAACAGAGCCTTTAAAAGTCCTACCATTTAGTAAATGCTTTAGTGCCAAACACAGTTAAGAAATTTGTACACCAAATCTCCTTTAATTCTCACAACTTCATAAAATGGGTATTAGGATTTTCATTCTTAAGATAAGAAACTTGAAACTTGTAGAAGCCCCAAAGCTGGTACCCTTAGTCTCTGGGAAAGCCCCTCCTCTTCTTTGGGTCTGACAGGCTTGCCAGCGTCTTTTCCTTACCTGCTTACTGTTCCTTTCTTTTGTGTGTGTAAATGAATCCTTAAAGACTGCAGAGACTGATGAAGGTGAATTTTTAGCTGGAGGAGGAGGTGTGCGTGGCCCCAGAATTTCGGAAAAAATACCATCTTCCTGCAGAGAAACAGACTGGCCCTTCTGCGCTGATGAAGACTGGGTGAGCAGTGGGCCCGGGAAACAGGAGAATCCTTCCTTGTGGTGTTAGAAATGTACACAGGATGACCGACCCATTAGTTCACAAAAAACTTTTCCAATGAAAATGATCTAATAGGTCTTACATGTCAAATGAAAAAAGACAAATGAAAAGAAACCTAGTCCTGAGAGCACTATTTAAATCACCGCCCATACCCTCGTCATTAGCAGGATTACGAGGTTGGATTTGGGTTGTATATCCAGATAGATACTAGGAATCTAAATATTATGGCCTCAGGATTTCATGGGGCCTAATTTATGACTGAGGGGGCTGTCATTTCAGAATTTCTCTATGATCTCTGCCTAGTCCTCTTAAACTACTTTTAAAGCAATAGATGATCTGAAGAGATTGGGGAGGGGAGCAATAGGACCTGCATGGAAACTTTTAAAATTGTACTGAACCCAAAAGATAGATCCTGAATGTAATTTTTTTCTCTCTTCACTTTCAGAATGAAAAATGCCCTTCTGGCTGCAGGATGAAAGGGTTGATTAATGAAGTCAATCAAGATTTCACAAACAGAATATCTAAGCTCAAAAATGCACTACTTGATTATCAGAAGAAAAATAAGGACTCTAGTTCAGTGACCGTGGATTTAATAGAACTTCTGAGAAGGGATTTCGCTTCCTCTAACAGTAAGTATTACATATTTAGTGCCTTGATTTTACATCACACAACAAAACACCACCACCAAAAATTCTAAATATGGTGTCTCCTTATAGCAACTGAGATTTTATACCAAAATACTTTGTGTAGAAACATATACACTTAAGCTATAGCTGAATTATTAAGGAGGGGCTTGCAATTTTGTTGTTGTTATAATGTAAAAAAGGCCAGCTTAGAGTTGTTTAAGATCACCATGTAAGTCAAAATTTTGGATTGAAGACTGGAATTTAAGTGTTTTCTTTTCAAGGGTATATATGGAAAGTAAGATGGGCCCAACCTTTTGAGTAGGTATATTTGTTTCTGTCTTACAGAGGAGGAAACTGAAAGGTCAAGGGACTTGCCTAAATAAGCAAAGCTGTCATGTGATGATGGAGTTGGGAATTCAATCCATAGACTCCACTAAGCTGATTATACAGTTTTTTAAAAATTTAGAATATAGAGCCATGTTATAGCTTTCTCACAGGATGAGAGCTAGGTCTCATTCGGACCAGGAAACATTGGGTTTGCTTTGGGTGTGGGCAGCAAGTTTAGTGAGACCCAGTTCCTGAAGCCTTACTGGACTCTTGATATGTTCAGGAGACACTTGACTAATTTAAAGACAGTAGTGCAGCAGTAATTGGCAAGTGAGTGATCCTGTTGACCTAAAAATAACAAAAACAAAAAAACAAACCTTAGGAACAATATCAAATCTATAGATAGGAAGAAAACCTCAGTAAGAAAATCCTGGAATACATTTCCCGGTACACCATGTGTGGCAAACAAGAAAAAAATTACAAGGCATACCAAAAGGCAAAAAGCACACATTAAAGAGGCAGAACAAGCACCAGAACCAGACACGGCAGGGGTTTTGGAATTATTAGACTGGGAGTTTCAGTCAAATATGACTAATATGCTAAGGATTCTAATGAATAAAGTAGACAGCATGTCCATGCCATAGCATGGGCAATGTAAGCAGAGAAGTGGAAATCCCAAGAAAGAACTAAAAAGAAATGCTAGAGATAACAGACAGTATAACAGAAATGAAGAATGCCTATGATAGGCTCACTAGGACACCGGACACGGCTGAGAGGACACATCAATAGAACCCTCAAAAGCCTATACATTCATTTTTTTAAAAAATATATCTTTATTGATTTCAGAGAGAGGAAAGGAGGGGGAGAGAGAGATAGAAACATCAATGATGAGAGGGTCATTGGTCGAGCCCACAACCCGGGCATGTGCCCTGACCGGGAATCGAACCCCGATCGCCTGGATCCTAGGTCGACGCTCAACCGCTGAGCCACGCCCGGCCAGGCTATGTTCATTTTTATACATTAGTTCAAATCCATAGAATGTACACCACCAAGAGTGAGCCTTAAGGTAAACTATGGGAGTTGGGTGATATGATGTATCAATGTAGATTCATACTTGGTTAAAAAAAAAAGGAAAAAGACCATTCTGATCTGTGATGTTGATAATAAGAGAGACTATACTTGTGTGGGGGCAGTGGATATATGGGAAATCTTTGTACCTTCCTAATTTTCCTGGAAACCTAAAACTGCTCTAAAAAACGAACAATTGAATAATTGATAAACACATACACACAAAGAAATAAAAATAGAAAATTATGTGGAAAAAAAAAAGAAAATCCAGGAACATGTTCAAGTGCTGTGAGTAAGGATATGATGAAATAATTGGAATGTAAGGATATGATGAAATAACTGGAATGTGATCAAATCAATTATTTTATCTCCTAATTACACCTTTAAAATTCCAAAGAGATTTTTCTTCTGCAATTATTTGGATTACTGATTGCTGGTAGGGCATCTTAATTGACATCCATGGATGACTACAGGACATAACATTGTCCAAAAATCAAACACCTAATAGATTTGCAACTCACAAATTAAATATCCAAAGAACAAACTATTATCAAAGTAAAATGGGGAATGTTTCTAAGTAAATTTCATTCTTTTGCTGGCTATTATAAGTAAATCACCCAGCAGCTTCTTCATTATCCATATTTTCTATTTCAGACAACGATAATACATACAACCAATTGTCTGAAGACCTGAGAAACAGACTTGAGGTCCTGAATCGCAAAGTCATAGAACAAGTACACCATATCCAACTTCTGCAGAAAAATGTCAAGGCTCAGCTGATAGAAATGAAACGACTGGAGGTAAGGAAGTGTGTGGCTCTGTCACCAGATTTCCTTATTTTTGAATAGCAGGGAAATGGAAGGAGATAGTCATTCACTGAATGCCTGCTATATGTAGAGCAAAGTGTTATATCTCTCTTATCTACCTACAAAGTAAGTATTATTCCCCCACCCTACTGATGAAAAAAAAAAAAAATGGCAGTGATATTAAGTAAAATTTCCCAGGGCACATAGACTGTAAATTTCAAAATCAAATATTCAGTCCCTGCTTGTCTTATTCAAATTCCTGATATTGCCAAGCCTCCAAGTCCTCAGCTTCACTGAAGGTCACTTCATTAGTGTATCCTTTCAGAGGAAATAGCAACTTGATCTGTTTTAAGATAAATCCAAATAGTTCCTATTGCTTCTCCTGGCTAGCATTACAACACCCAGCATCTCTTCCACTGAGGATATTACATAAATGGAAAATAAAGTAGTGGTTGGTAGGTCTCCAAGTCAAAGAAATAAAAACAGCTTCCAAGAAATAAATTAACTACTAAGAACTCAATAGACATATTTTATTTCTTTATACCTACCTTTTTTTTTTCCTTTACATTTCCCCTCCTCTCCCATCCTCTAGGTGGACATCGATATTAAGATCCGATCTTGCCAAGGGTCATGCAGTAGGACTGTAGTACGTACAATAGATCTACAGGACTATGACGATCAGCAGAAGCAAGTTGAACATCTCATTGCCAAAGACTTACTTCTCCCTAAATATAGACAACACTTACCACTGTTAAAAATGAGCCCAGATTCAGATTTGCTCCCCAGAGATTTCAGGAGTCAGCTTCTCAAAGCCTCTCCGGAGTGGAAGGCACTCACAGAAATGAAGCAAATGAAAATGACGATAGAAAGGTCTGGAACAGATGGGAATCCCCGAGGAGACTCTGCATCTCGTGGAACAGGATCATCACCTGAAAACCCCAGGAAACCTGCACCTGGTGGCACTGGGAATCGGAAACCTGCGGGCTCTGGACCTGGTGGTGCTGGCATTTGGAACCATGAAAGTTCTGGGCCTGAAAGTTTTAGGCCAGATAGCTCAGGGCATGGGAACGCCAGGCCTGCCAACCCAGACTGGGGCACATTTACAGAGGATTCAGGAAGTGTAAGTCTGGCGACAAAGGAAAAGTCCCGCCAAACAGGTAAACTGCACACTTCTGAAGGAGATAAAGAACTTCTGATTGGTGATGAGAAGGTCACTTCTAGTGGCACAACCTACCGTCGTCAATCATGCTTTAAATCCATTACTAAGACCGTTACAGGTCCCGATGGCCGCAAAGTAGTGACGAAAGAAGTGGTCAACTCTGAAGATGGTTCTGACTGTGGGGACACAATCGACTCAGACTTCACCCGCACTTTGTCCGGCAGGGGCGGCCTAGAAGAATTCCGTCGTACTTACCCTGAGGAAGCTGATTTCTTTGAGAGTGAATCAACTGGATTAAGAGTCCCAGGTTTCACGTCATCTGAGTTAGAAAGTCTTGGGAGTAAGACCCACTCTGTGGACTCAACATCTGTCATTTTCTCAGACTTAGGGGAAACCAGCTCTCACAGTGTCAGAGGAAGTCACAGCACCAAGAGAAGCCGAGCTAAAGGTCGCACTGCCAGAGGTATCCGCACTTCTCCTTTGGGGAAGCCTTCCCTGACCCCCTAGACTAAGTTAATTATTCTTGCAATGTGCTCCCATAGCACCTTGCGCTTCTTCCCCAGCCCTCTCTCATGCTTTATTAAAACTGCACCTTTTTTGTTTGTTTTTCATACTAGACTGTAAGTTCCACAGGGGCAGAGACTTTGTCTACCATGCTCATCTTTGTATTCCCAACTGCCTGGCAGTGCAGAGGGGCACCACTCAATAAATACATGCTAAATGAACGAATCCCTCTGAAACTCGATTTTGAGTTTGTTTAACCAAATTTTTTTTACCATTCGAAATATGCGTGTTGGAATCGTCACCCAATTTATTGATCATATATTTTTTTAGAGTGGCTTTCAGTTGAAATTGAGATCAGGTTAAAAACAAGTTATATTAATGCTAAATGGTGCTCAGATATCTTTGCTGGCTACTTGCTGTTAAGTACAAGAAAAATTCCAAATCCATTGAGGAAATCCCCTTTGCAGTTTGTATGTATAAATGCCACTCATTTGCTTAGGATTCATTCCAGTGTAAGTGCATGTTTTCTCCATGGAGGGAAGGAAAGAAGGAAGGAAGGAAGGAAGGAAGGAAGGAAGGAAGGAAGGAAGGAAGGAAGGAAGGAAGGAGGAAGGAAGGAAGGAAGGGGGGAAGGAAAGGCAGGAGGGAGAGAAGAAAATAGGGAAGGAAAGGGAAGGAAGCCAGTATCTACCTTCATTTTATCTGGGCCATTCCTATCTTTGTAAAGTTAAATGAGAGTAACTTCTTCCAACCAGCTTAATTTTTTTTTTAGACTGTGATGATGTCCTCCAAACACATCCTTCAGGTGCCCAAAGTGGCCTTTTCAATATCAAGCTACCGGAATCCAGTAAGATTTTTTCAGTTTATTGCGATCAAGAGACCAATTTGGGAGGATGGCTTTTGATCCAGCAAAGGATGGATGGATCACTGAATTTTAACCGGACGTGGCAAGACTACAAGAGAGGTTTCGGCAGCCTGAATGACAAGGGGGAAGGAGAATTCTGGCTAGGCAATGAATACCTACACTTGCTAACGCTGAGGGGCTCTGTCCTTCGGGTTGAATTAGAGGACTGGGCTGGGCACCTGGCTTATGCAGAATATCACTTAAGGGTAGGCTCCGAGGCAGAAGGCTATGTCCTGCAGGTCTCCTCCTATGAAGGCACGGCAGGCGATGCTCTGATCAAGGGTTCCTTGGAGGAAGGCACAGAGTACACTTCTCACGCTGGCATGCAGTTCAGCACCTTTGACAGGGATGCAGACCGGTGGGAAGAAAACTGTGCAGAAGTCTATGGAGGAGGCTGGTGGTACAACAACTGCCAGGCGGCCAATCTCAATGGCATCTATTACCCTGGGGGCTTCTATGACCCCAGGAACAATAGTCCTTATGAGATTGAGAATGGAGTGGTCTGGGTCCCCTTCAGAGGAGAAGATTATTCCCTCAGGGCTGTCCGCATGAAAATCAGGCCCCTGGTGACCCGATAAACTGGCAGAGGGGAAGGGAGAGCTCTGTTTTGTTTAGTGAAGTGGAGGAAAAATAAGGAAGTTACAGGAGTCAAGATTATTTACAACCTAAAACAATTCCCAGGTGCTATTTTATTGTTCTTTGTACTGTAGCTAAATGTAACTGAGACATATTAGTGCTTAAAAATAAAGTTATGTGATTTTTTAAAAATCTTTAAAATAGCTCTGTGAGTTTTAAAATTTCTGTAAGGATACACCAAGGGTCATTCCCTGCACCAGAAAGAGGGAGCCTGAAAAAAGTTCCTCTCTGCAGCCCCTATGGCTATTGTTTGGAGAACTTCTCCTCCCACACATTCAGAGTCATAGGGCTATTGTAAGGTAAAACAGTTATTTCATCCATACAATTTGAATGATTTTAAACCAATATTTTAAGTTGCAAAGCACTAAGTTTAACAATGGCTGACTTCTGTAGAGTACTTTATAAAGTTCTTTTATCTCTTCTGTTAGTTTGCAAATCTAGGAAGGCAGGAGAACCATTCCTCCCTAATGGAAATAGAAATCTCGTTTTTTAAGGCTTCAGTGAAGACCGCAATTACAAGTATTCCAAAAACAGATGGCAGCTACACATTGATAAAAAATTCCCACAGCATTCATTTTACTTTATTTTTCCACCAACCATAAAGTAGTCTGTGATACATCAGTTGTTATGAAAGTAAAACATTTGTTTGAAAGCATCCCACTAAATATGAACTATACTATTCATAAATTCAACATATTTACATTGGTCAATATTTTATTTTAATCTAAGTTGCGTCTTTGATCTTGGTGGCCTTGGCTCCTGCTACCACTTTTTAACTCATATTTTCTTTTAGTGAGAACTACTTGCTATTTATTCTTGAAAAGGTATTAAAATATCCCAAGCACATTGGGATCCCAGTACATGGTCCTTAGTATCTTAGTTTCTATCACAAAGTAACTGCATCCTTCCTCCTTATAAGGAAAGAAGAGAAGGAGGGAGGGACGGAGGGACAGAGGGACGGAGAGATAGAGGTAAACAAAGAAAGATGGAAGGGGGCCAAGGCTAGGGACCAGAGCCAGGGAGCAGAGGAAAGGTGAGCACAAGAACTCGCTAATGAGTCACATACGAAGGCCCAGTATTCTTGCATTTCCTTATGTACAATTAAAAATCCTTGCTACAATAAGTGATATATCTCCAAATCTTTGCATACTTAGATAAGAACGTCTTAAGAATTAAAAGAAGCTTCATTTATTTCAGACAATGAAGTTCCATGTTATCTCTATGGCCACTGTGTTGACGCTCACACGCTTCCTCAGAATTCAATTTGGGAGTAGGAAGAATTTTATTTTCCAGAGCATCACACTATTAGGGACAGAATCAGGTCCCAAAATAAAAGTGACTCTGAATGTGAAGGGCCATTCATTTCTCATTTATTTTGAAGGCTTAGAGTTTATTAATAAAAAATAGGTAACTTCTTTTTAAGAAACAATAGCCAATATTAGCACAATCATGAAATTAGAGATACAATTTCATTGTGAGAAAAGACACCAAACATCTCTTTTTCATTTTACCTTATCTTTAACCTATCGCCCTGTTTCCTTTATTCCTGAAATTAAATATTATTTCAACTTCTCTAATTCTCATTCACTTGGAAACCCACTTTAATTTGGTTTTCACTGGGCTACCACTCTCTTGAAATTCTTCTCCTTAAAGTCAACAATAACCGTGTAGTTCTAAAATTGATTTCCTACATTCAAGCCTCTTCCTATTCCACCTCCTTTAAACATCTGCTACTATTGTCCCCATGTGTTTCTTCAATCTGTATTTCTCTTGTTTCTGGTATACCATTCCCACCTGGGTCACCTTTCTTGATCTTTTTAACTGGCCAATTCTTTCTTAGACCACTCCTTAAATGGAGGCGTTTCTCATTACAATAATATTAGAACTCATTTTTAACAGTTGGGATTAGGTTTGACCCATGTGGCTTAAATAAGACAGAAACTTACTTCCTGTTCACAGAATCATCTATAGGAATATGTCCTTGTAAGTGTCTTCAGGAAGCCATCACCCTAATCAATGGCTTCCATTCTCAAGTTTACCTCATGGTCTAAACCTCATGTCCTATGGAAATCTGGAAGGAAGAGGAAAGACAGAAGGGAACATGAGTGAGTGAGTACCTTCTCTCTTTGAAGGAACTTTCCCGGATGCTCCTTCCACTCACATCTCATTAGCTACAGCTCAGTCACATAGACACACCTAGAGGAAGGAGAGGCCGAGATTCCTGTTAGCTTAGATACAAGGCTACCCTAATTAAAGTTAGGATTCCATTACTAAGGAGGAGACAGAGAATAGATGTGGAGTAGGCAACTAGCAGTTTAGCCAGACCATCCTTTCTCACCTTATGTGTATATATTCTCCTTGGTTGATTTGACAATCACCATAGTTTCAATTAACATCAGTAGACTGATGACAGCCAAATCTAAAACTTCAGCCCTGACATTCAGGTCCATGATTTCAACTCACACTGAACACATCCAGTTATATATTTCTCATTAATCTGTCTAAAGTTGAACCAGTTACCTTTTCACCAAAACCCATTGCATCTTCTCTATTTCTTATCCTAGTCAGAAGCATCATTAGACCTCCAGTTTCCTAATTTAGAAAATTTGGGTTCCCTTTCAGCTTCTTTATTAAAATTCCACATCCAAATCTGTTCCCAAACCTTCCTCTACTCTAGAATTGGCCATTCTTACATTATCTTTTGTTAATCTTTTCTGATTTAGGCTATTCAATGAACCGTCTCTTAACCTCTTGCTTTACCACCCTTCTTTTGTTCATTCCTTCCCCACAAAGATATCTTTCAAAAATAAACCCAATCATGTCTTTCTCTTGTTTAATGTCTTATCTTAAAGTTGAGTTAAAACAAAACAAAAGAACAAACAAAACACAACAGACACAGGTACAGAGAACAAACTGATGGTTGCCAAAAGGGAGGGGGTGGGTGAATGAATGAAAAGGGTGGAGGGAATAGGAAGTACACACTTCCAGTTATAAAATAAATAAGTCGTGGGGATTTAATGCACAGCACAGCGAAATTAGTCAATATCTTCCTAACTATATTTGGTGACAGATGGTTACTAGACTTATTGTGGTGATCACATCATAAAGTATATAAATGTATAATCACTGTGATGTATACTCGAAACTAATACAGTATTGTGTATATCAACTATACTTTAATAAAAAAATAAGATACTTAACTTTTTTACAAATTGGTCTGCTTTTAGCTTCTGCAGTCATTCACTATATACTTTAGTCACTGAGTTTCTCACTGGTATTGGAATACCAGGTTCTTTAAGGGCTCTGCTTCTTTCCATACATTGCCTAGAAGCCTCCCATTCATCCCTTAAAATATAGCTCAATAACGTTCCTTCTGTGAACCCTTTCTTAATCCCTACCATAGAACATAGAGCCAGGAATTGTTCTCTGGACCCTCATAGCTCTTGTTCATATCTCAAGAATAACATAGTCAACCCCTAACTCTAACATAGTTGTTTTGTTTTGTGAGACTGGCTCTTTTATTATCTAGTACATGAAAGTTTATGATTGTTATAACTTCTCCATTAATTAAACTTTTTACTATTACATAATGTCCCACTTTTGCATGTTTCATCCTTTAGAACTGAATTCCACCTTGTCAAATATTAATATTGTCATCACTCCCAATTTCTTTTTCTTTACATTTACCTAGCTATCTTTAGATGCCATTTTATTTTTATCATAACTGTATCACTTTGTTTAGAAGGATTTTTAAACACAATTTTATTTTAAATTTACTTTTTATTTTATTGTTATTTTTTCTTTCCTTAACTCTTTGCATATTGATCCTTCATTTCCAAACTTTTTTCTCACTTACTTCAGATTTTTTATAATCAATAAAAAATTTAAAACACACTTACATTTCACATTTACTTAAACATGAGAATATTGTATAAAGCATTTAATTTTAATTATTTTCCCAGTGGTATTACTGATATACTTATACTCTATCATGGGTTCCTCTTATAACCAACAAAATACATTTCCAATTTAGTAAGCCACATGAAGGGTGCAGCTGGTGGATCAGAACAAGACCCATCCAGCCAAGTTCACTAATCTCCAATTATGTCTAGAAAAGCCTGAAAGAAAATGGCACCATATTAATATACTTAAATTCATTCAAGTATAACTTATATTTATGAAGTAATACAACACTTACAATTTGCTGAAACAACTTGAAAAGAAGCAACATTTAGATTTTGATAGCCATGAATATTATGCAAGTTGCTTGCAGGTAATAAAGTTTACAAAAAAACCATTTTGGAAATAGCATATTATATTTATTTATCCATGCTTTTATTGATTAACCTATATCCTATTTCTAATTGAATCCCAAGTACTTTATAAAATCTTTGATTAAAAGGGGAAGGGAGGGCAATGGCCTTAAACGGCATGGAAGGGAATAGTGTGGTAAGGAATTTGCACCTGGGGAAGAGATTCAAATTAATTCTTATACAAGAGCTAAACATTATGTCTTCCATCTCCACATTTTAAAAGCAACACTTCAAAACCACAGAGGCAAGAAAATGTTAGGTTTGAGCTGATTAAACAGTGGTCAGCTATTCAACAGTGCTCTTCCTGTTGATCAGCTCATGGGCGAAGGTGGCTAGGTGTTGATTGCAACAGAGCACTCTAGAAAATATTTGCTAAATCTACCTTTGACTCTATCTGCAATAGGCCAGTGACCTCAAGTTTGCTTGCCTACATAAGCTGTTGCAAAACAGCATTGAAAGTATATCCTTTGAGAGATAAACCAAATGTAGCAAACAATTGGTGAATCCAGGTGAAGGACACCAAGGTATTCATTAAACCATTCTTGTCATTTCTCTGTAAGACTGAAATGTCTTAAAATAAAAAGTTGTTGGAGAACTATGATTCGGTCAATATACAAAATGAAAAACAT